GTCTGATTGGCCAATGTCATGTCAATCACAAATTTAACTATCCAATCAGAAAACAGATGGGTTTGGCTGTCTATTCCCCTCAGATGATCCCTGTTTAGACACAGAACAGACATTTCGGACGTACTATTCATTGAAACATAAAATGACATGTTTGCTTTAAAAGCATCAACATCAGCTCCTCTCTGACAGCATCCTGGCAGTTTCTAAAAATCACTGGGTCTTCATTAATCACATGCAAACATACACCCATCTGGAACAGTCCTGACACACTAAGGAACAATAATATGAATAACTTCCCAGATTGGAGTTTTAAAGGAATTAAATCCTTGGAACATATTTTCGAAGGAACAGACTTTAAGCCGTTGCACAGATTAGTTGGACATCATGGGGTTAACAAGAACAGATCTTTGAATACCAACAAATTAAATCTATTATCCATTATAGTAAATGCCATCATGGTCCACTTTTTGGCCTTCAAAACAACAATTCTGATTTCCACACTGCCAGACGGGACGGTGGGTTTCCTGCAACAATCGTTCGTAGAAAAACGATTCCTTTCCCTGTGAGCTGGGTTTGCATTGTTTCTGATCTTTGTGCAGTGTGCACATCAGCCCCATACACACTGCTTTACTGTGAAGCTCTTATAACCTACTGACTCCTGTTTGAACCAGTGAGCAGAAACTTAGGGATAATTATTTGGGACAGAAGCTTTGTGTAGGTTGTTTGTTTGCTTTTTGGCAGCTCAGGAAATTTTGAAGTTACGCCATCCAGCACGAACGTTGAGCTTTGGACGGGACGGCTGCAGCTAAACTGCTGAGGAGAGTTTAGCTACACTGCAGGTGACTGTAGAAGTGCATCTAAATTCACGTACAAACTCTCGTTCACACCCCAAAAGCTCACAGCTCATTGATCCAGCCCAAGTCCTTTCAGACTTCAAAGCTGCTCTAACTGTGGGGCTGACATGGACATGGACGGGATGACTCTGTGTTCATGGTGTTTATAACCTGCAGCTGAGGTGGACTTCAGACAGTAACTCAATTAATAAAACGGGAAGATAAATAAATGATTAGCCCCGTAACCGCTCATGCCCTTTGGATGTCTGAGGCCCATCCAGGAGGAACTGCAGCTCACAGGTGGGAAACCAGAACGTGAAGCAGAAGAAGTCTTCAGCGTATTTTCTCTCTGCTAACAGGAAGCTGTGTTTGCTCTCTGCAGAGTCCTGCGATGACCTGCTGATGATGAAACCTGCTGTTTACCATCAGCAGTGTGGAAATCCCAGCTCATCTGCCAAGAGACAAACACGAGAGGGGAGACCGTCACGCTGTCAGGACTATAAAACCTCAGCTGCATGTCTGTGACTGAGACAAACCCGCGATGGCTTCCCTCAAAGCGCTGCTCTCTGCGCTGACTCTGCTGGCTCTGACTGTGGACGCCTCGTCCGGCCGTGAGTGTTTCATTTGTTTAAGCGCCGTGTGGCTTGACGCCGCTCGCAGTGGTGCTGCGTGATGTTTGTAGAGCATAGTTTCAATAAACCTCCCGTTTCCTTCTGTCAGCCGGATACAGCAACTACAACTATGACCGGTCCGGTCAGGATCTGACCCGTCTCTACAACTCGCCGGTGATCACGGCTGAGAGGGTGAAGAGGCCGCTGGAGGGGATGCCATTTATACTGGGACCACTCAGCCACTCCGGGGTTCGGTCGGTCCACTGAACACAGAAACATTTCCACAAACAAACAGACGTTGAAACTAATAATCTCGATGCTTTTGAAGATCATTAGTTATTTTGACTTTAATTCTGAAACATAACAAACAAAAGCTCCAGATGTTTTCTTTGATGGCGGCACAAACATCATACTTAAGACAACAGTGAAGCTTTTTTTAATGCATATTCCAGTTTGTACAAACAGCTAAAACCCTTAAACGCATCGTTCTGATCACTGTGCTGTTGTGACTTCATTGTGCAAAGTTGTTTAGATTCCAGAAAGCAAGCAGATGTGTTAGACCAGCTGAGGTCGACACGTCACACGTGCTGGAATAACAAACATGTTTGTTCAAACCTCTCGTTCTTTCGTAGGGTGACGTTAGGTGATAACTCTCAGTGGCTGATCCATAAAGGAGACGGATTCGGATTATCCTCTCAGACGGTCGTGACGGATGCTCGACACATGAGCTCGGCCTGGGAGGTAAACTTCAAATACTAGCGTGTCCATTGAAACGTGGCTCTGTTGTGTCTCTAAGTTCAACAAGTCCACAAACAGCTAGTCTGTTCAGCTCGTTGCTGGTGTGTATACTGGTGGCCAACAGAAACCACTGGAACCAGACCAAAGTGAAAGATGTTTGACATTAAACCAAAACGAGATCCTGCAGACTCCTGATTACAGACACTTTATTTCTGAAACATTCAGTGAGAGTTTATTTTAATCCAAACTTTTGATTCTTTCTGACCTTCGGTCTCGTTTTGTCTGCAGTCTGTCAGTTCTAGAGAATTCCAGGGTTCAAAGACAGTTTCAGACTTCGTGAGTGCTGGAGGACCCAACTACAACTTACTCTCTGATAACTGCCACCTGGGATCCCGTCGAATGATGAACCAGTAAACATGATTCAAAGTTCCTGATAATAAAGGCCACCCTCACACAGACTGTCATGTGTCTTTTCTTCCACTAGGAGGCTCCAGACTTCACAACAAACACCCCACTAACTGTAAGCTTTAGACAAACGTCTGCACACATTCATATACACAATAATGTCTACGGATCTTCTTCCTCAAAGGCGTCTCTGACA